CTTCAATACGAACGTCAAGACAATTCTTTCGTACGGTGCCGAAACTTAGAGAACCAGCACAACCATAGTCAAAAAAGTACGAGTATTTCTCAACAATTGCATACGCAAAATACTCATTGTCCGTTGACTGGATATCATCAGAATCAGCCTACTGTGGGAGAGATCAAACCAGCTTCTAGCTCAAGAGGCAATTAGGAAAGGACGTTGGAAGTGGATAAGACACACATTACCGAAATCATCAAACTGCATCATGAAGCATGTATTTATTTATTGTTTGAGGGTGCATCACGAAGCAAGCGCTAACTTGGAATCTTGAAGGGAAGTGGAAGTCAGTCAGTAACAACGTAGAACCTCATACGTACTTATGTCAGCTCAAGTTGCCATACCACATAAGCACACTGATACAATTGTCGATTCAAATCCCATATTGGTAGAGGTAGTAAAAGTATAAGCAGTAGTCGGAAAGATTAGGGTTTGAACGTTATTGAAGGAAATAAATTTGGAAAGAAAAAAAGGGGCATGAAGAACTCAGAAGATTAGAATTTAGGAGAACACAAAGAGGTGATGCACCTGCACCATTGCAAACGATTTTGAGCCATGTCATTCAAGGTCTCTAACCATCGGTTTCTATCATCTCGTGGATCTCAACCAGGTAGTCTACACCTATCAATCTGACTCAGTCCACTTGTCATTCATTTGTGCCATGTTTTTGTCTGACCGCCCCTAGCTTTCTTCTAACCTACTCCTACATCATAAAGCACCGCATGTCGGTGGTTGGGCATACGTAACACGTGTCCCAGCCATCTCAACTGATGAAGTTTCACTACTTCATCAATCGATTTTCCACCTTTACCCAGTACCCACTTCATAACAACTGCACAACCTACTCGGTGTTCCCACGATGTACGAACAATGCTTCAAAGACACCTATGATCGAACACTGGTAACCTACGAATATTCTCTACTCTTGCCGGCAATGTTTCACTGTCATAAAATGTCCTAACCTGTAATCGTACTTCAGACAGAATCAATCTGTTAATGGATATTACCTATGGAAATAATTTCTGTTTACGATAATTTGGATAATCAATAAAAATAGATACTTTACTTTTTAATATCTGTGTTTCAACCATTTTTGTACATTCATTTATTCATTAAAATTAAACAAATAAAAGGATGAAACGGCCGTTCAACGCTTTCAGGTTTTCCATATTGGTCTAGTTTCAATTGACTCATAATCTCAACTATTGAAATTAAAGACAATTATGAATTTTTATAAAGTTAATTGTTTTAATTCTTTATCTTTTAAGAATGATACAAAAAAAAAGAGAAAAAATTAACAGGGAAATGACTATCAACAACAAGAACAACAACAACAACAACAAATCAATACTGATAACAAAATAACAATCAACATTGTATTTCTTTACTTGATTTAAGGAATAAACATAAAGAGGAGAAATGAAAGGAATGTTATAAAACTAAACACAATATTATACATACCAATTTTAATAATGATTATAATTTCCTTTTAATTAAACACGTTTACAATAAATAATTAATATCAAAAGGGGATTTTGTGAAGATTATAACAATTTCAATAGTTGAGATCATGAGTTCATTGAAACTAGACCAACATTAAAATAAGCCTGCTGAGGAGTTCCATAATACGATGAAACGACCGTTCAATGTTTCTAAGTTTTTCATAGTGATTTAGCTTCCATTGACTCATGATCTCAATTATTGAAATAGATCAATAATTTGAAACAAGAGTAGTAAAGTTATTTATCTATCAGATAAATCATTAAAATGGAATATAAATGAAGAGAATACCAACTTATATGTATGTGTTATGTATATGACATTGTGGTGTGTGCTATTTATATTGACATAAGTAATATATGATGTTAGATGTGAACAGAAGGTCTGGCAGCAGAGAGACAAGAGGGTCGAACAGTAAAGAATGGAAACAGTAAGCAATTTGTATGAAAATGCAAGAACAATAAAGTCTGAGTCATTTTGGAGACAATCGACGGACATTTTGCAAATTAAGCATTTACTTTATGATTGTTAGATTTTATGAACAAGTCCTGTAATTTTGTGTCAAGTACATTCGACTGTCCCCGCCGGTGTTCTGTTCACTACAACATGATCATCCATAGAACAACACATTAAGAATTAGTATATTAATAAATTTTGATATCCTCATCTATTGCACATAGAAGAGAGAATATTCTAATTCAACTTTATGAGATAATACTGGTGTATTAGAATGAATAAATGAATGAATAATTAATAAAAACGAATTCATTACAACAAACTTATTACCAAGAGTTTCAAGTGTAGAAATACAACAGGAATATAATAATAATAATAATAATAATAATAATAATAACAATAATGGGAACTGTAGAAAAACCAAAAGCAAAACGAAAAAAAGAGAAAAAACTTCGAAAAACGAATGAACAAAATAATGAATTAATGAAAAATATAATAATACTATAATATTATTATGATTAGTAATATATATATATGCCCTCACATGGAATCCTCAAGGCCAAAGGAAAAGACGAACACCAAAGAACACATTACGCCCGGAAATGGAGATAGACATGAGAAAGATGAAGAAGAATTGGATGGAATTAGAAAAGAAGGCCCAGGACAGAGTGGGTTGGAGAATGCTGGTCGGCGGCCTATGCTCCATTAAGAGTAACAGGCGTAAGTAAGTAAGTAATATATATATATATATATATATATATATATATATATATATATATATGAAAAGTGTTTAAATCATTCATTTGATCTGATTATCTATGTTACGTACATTTTTTAATAAATTAAATGTTTCATGAAATAATTGCCTATAAGCTGGTTTATAATCTAAATGAATTAAATCATGATATTGTGAACGTATATAGGGATTATAAATACGATCTAAATAACTAACAAAATGAATATCATCTAATAAATCATTAATTTGATCAGATATTCTTGGTTTCAATTTATCATTGGTTCTATTTGTTTTTGTTTCTATTAAATTATTTTCAATCAATTCAGTGATAAAAGAATTTTCTTTTTCATTTGATTCATTATTATTAGTATTGTTAAGATCACTAGTCAGTATCTGTTGATGATTATGTTGTGATGGAGATGGTGTAGACGAACGACTGCTAGGCTGAAATATTTGAGAAAGTAAGAGAGAGAGAGAGAGACAGTTAGTAAAAGAAGGTAGTTTGCCATTGACTATTGACTTCCTGAGTCACATTAAACTTTTGATGATGATATATATTACTAAAAAAGTAATATTAATCAGAGAAATAAGTTAGAATAGAAAGCCTTAGTACAGCTACTTTCGTATTTATTGTCCTTTACTAAATCAAATTTTACCGATTACAGTTTGAAATTAATTTAACTTATGATACTTGCTGATCATTATGATTATAAGCAGAGTTAAATGTTGTATACCAATAAGACTGTAGATTCCGGATCGGCACATGTCACAACTTCATTGGGTTGTCGGAATTATTTGCATCGAACCCAAAAATTATACGACATTTTGACATTGGTTATTTCAATAGTTATGAGAAACTTAGGGGTTAGAAAACGTTAGGAAAAAAATGTTGGTCGTGATTATTATGGGACGCCCAACTAAATAATCTGTGCCCACTGGAATGGCTCAAAGCAACGTTTAGTGACTTCATGAACTGATACCATATCATGTTAGATCCACCTTACCTTAATTTATCCCAACCAACATTACACGCCGAATTATTCAGTGGTTTGGTGTACTGAACAAATGTTTCAGTCAACTCGGTCGACAAAGGTTCACTGCATCATCAACTAATTTTCTATCTTTTCTTAGTGCCATGCATCTGATGTCAGCACTGACCATTCGATTATCCCAATATAAACCAGTATTGCTTCATGACATCTTAAGTCAAATGACGGTAAGCTGAGAACGTCTTCTAATTGCATAGATTGCGTTTCACACCCTTAAAGTAAGAGGGAGCGAACTGCTGTCCCGTTTACTCGTATCTTCATTAACAGACAGGCAACTCCGTATGGAGCCCCTCTGAGCCTACTGCCAGCCCCAAGCCCAGATAAAGGGGGAGGGTTGGGCATGAGGTTAGCGACCCCATCTCGTAGAAAACTAACTCGCTAAAAAACGCTAACCAGAAAAAACTATTCAAATCATTTAAAGTCTGCCCTGGGAGTCAGAAGGTCTTCATTCAGAAGAGTTATGACGCCTCATGATGAAAGCCGAGTTCCTTCGGAAGTCACGAGGCTGATACCCCTTTTGACAACCAGAGTAACCATTAATTTAGGAACATGGAATGCTCGTACAATGTGGGAGGCCGGGGGAGTCTTTCATATTGCTGCATCTTACTTAAGCCACAGGTGAAAAGGCTTCCGATAAAATTCACCTTTTGCTTCATCCGAATTGTAGTAGACAAAGACTAAGAGGGGTCAAAGGCACATGTCATTAATCTTACAAGATATTACTGTTCCATAAAATCGGATAGCACTTGATCGACTACCTACCGAAATCCAGCCCATGAGAGTCTGACATATCTTTAAAACCAACTTTATACCTCAACCACCGAGGCGATCAAGTCTTCTAAATACATAAATTAATGACATAAACTACGACTCAAGGATTGAAAGCCGAGTATTACAACTAGTAAGCTATCACTTTAGGCTTTTATATATTACTACCACTAAAGTAATTACTTCTATGAATTTGGTTTTCATCCTATTGTGCTAATGGGGTGTGGCAACTTGGGCCGATGCATATATATGCTTGGTCCTACATTGTAGCTAACTGACTGGAAAATGGATCATGTATTTAGAGGAAAAGAAATAAAACGAAATTTAGTAAAACACCCCACCCGATTAACTTCAGATTCTGTAATGACTAGAGAATTTGATAATCCCATAGATTCTGATGATGGATTAACTTGATTTCCATTAGAAAATGCTTCACAATGATAATCGTTACTAATTGAAGAAATTGATGTATCTGTAATGTAAAATAAAACAAAATATTACACAACACTTATTTTCAAAAATCAGCTGGTATAGAATAGTTTGAACTAAATTATTCATGAAAGCAATATTAATGTATTGTATATTGTTATGTAAGCAGTACTTATTGCGTTCGAAAGTAATTTTAATGTAGTGTACTTAGTTTGGTAATCTTATTGGCATTGGAAACCTAGAAAGTGACTATACTCTTCATATAACATTCGATCAACGTACGTAACTAGAATAGGGTTTTAATCGTTGTGTTAAGCACCCCCCCAGTCCTGGTATAAGGTTAGTATGCGATCTTAGAAATTTCTGGATCTGACTGAAACCATCAACTTATCTAAGTTAGACTATCATTGAAAGCCTGCAAGCAATGAATGGGACTCTCCAGGTTTCCGCATCCACGGCCACAAACACAAGAATCGGACACAGGAACTTGGGTAACATGCACGGATGCTTCACCTCCAGACCACTCAGACGGTATCCAACGATGTCAATGTCTAAATTCAATAAATCCACGACAATGAGCGACCGTCTTCTGTTGCTTTCGTTGGGTTGCCTTACACCCGATACGGATTAGCTCCATTTGGTCACTGCTTCTCAACAGAAATCAGGAAATTTCCTCTCGAAGCTAGTCACTAGTGAACGCATGGTGACTGCATAAGGCTACCTAAATACTAACACCTAATGATATTCAGTATGTTTTGTATTATTCATAGATTACCAATTTATGAGGGGAATTGTCAAAACCCTGCAAACCCTATTGTTTGGGGTGAATATCTCAACAGTACTCTGGGTTTTATATTCATTACAGTCAAATAACGAAGTAAAGTTGTGTTATCTCTGAAAAGTACTTATTATAAAGATTATGACAACTGGGGTTTTATATGATAATTGGTAAATTAGGTCCTGTATTCGTACTGACATATTGGTAGGATTTAAAACAAAGTGATTTTTGAATGCAACCTAAAACAATCTGGATCTCTATGTTCGTATCAATGCGCGTGTCATACGACCTTCTAGTTGAAAAAAAAATCATCTTCCACGTTATTGTCGAATAATGTAGATCAAAGCGCTCATATATATACATAATATCAAGAGTTGCATTCACATTAAACGAAAATATTTTATATAAAGAAACATACCAGTTTCACAGGTTGAAATCATGAGTCAGTTGAAGCTAGACCACCATTGAAAACCTGGAAGCACTGGAAGGCCATACCAGTTATCAAAAAAACTTTGACACAAGTACTTATAAACATACGACATTCTAGTGTCTAATAATCGTGCCTCTAATTACTGATAATTTGTTTAGTTCACTATAACAAATAGTAGCAACAAAAAATCGATGTAAAACTATTGTTCCATATATAATTGTGTGTTTTGCACACAATCTTTACGATTCATGTCTGATGAAAACAATTGTAATATATGATAAGGATCACATATACACAATAAATTGTACTTTTAAAACTGAACGGGGGTAAAGAAAATATGCTTGTATACCTACTGATATTATTTATATAAGAAAACAAATAGTTTAAGGGGAAAAAATGTTATACAAAATTAAAGCAAATTAGAATCGACAGTTATAAAAAAAACTATTTTGTCGAGGAATAGAGAATCCATAAGGATTGTCAAATGACTTCACACTATGACAGATTCAACCCTAAAAATATGATTGTTTTTTGCTAAGGTTAAACTTATGAATGATGATTAAGTTTCACTAGGATGTTGAAGACTATAGTACGAAGTCAGTCTTAGCAGGTAAGATGAATGACTGAAGCTAGCCGGTAGTCATATGTTAATAAAGAATTTGTAGTTAAAATTATATTCATTCAGCATGTGTTAAAGGATTTTTCTAATTGATTAAAAATAAACTAATTAACTACCAAGCCGGTAAACACGTATAAGTTAAAACCATCGGTATATATAATAGTAATATCCATATCTAACCTGTGCCCATCTCGGCGAGACCATAATTCGTGGACAAACCAGATAGATTTAAAAAACCAAGTATTATATGTTGACGCAAAATCCATTCTTCCGTATGGCTAAATAGTGACTTGCAATTTTGTCTGATTTCAGTTCGTGATGAGAACCCCAATAAATCATGTCAACTACCATAATGAAGGGTTCTACATTGAGGGGAGGTATGACGAACATTCATATGAGTTGGTTATGTTGGGACTTCTGATCATTTTGACGGACAGTGTGACAATGTTTAAAAAGAATTTCGGATTTTCTAAAATTCAGAATATTGGTTTTGGATTAATCTACATTAATCCTGAGTTTTTCTACAGAGAGACTGTGTCAGTTAATCCAGTGACCTCAGAAACCTCACTAGTCCTTTTGAGATGGCGGCTGATAAATATTCGACTATGCTGATTTATATCAACACAAGTCATCTGTGGTAAATTAGTTGTCAGTTTTAACAAAATCGAGTATACTATGTAATTATTTCCTCTGTAGTACTCGTCTATTTGAAACATATCTTTTGAAAATATAGCAAATATAGGAGTATATTGGAAACACCTGATAACGGTTATTGTCGAAGCACTGCTTATGTATGCTGGAACAACTGAATGAGAGAAATACATAAGTTAGGCTTAAAATATTAAATAAAGATTATTAGAGCAAGGAATAAGTTGTGTACTCTTATTGATTAAAGTGGTTCAGATATATGTTAAGCATTCAAAACCTCTATATTCAACACTGTTTGGAATGTAAGTGGATAAGAAAAAACAAATGTCGTCACAGGATCTTTCACTAGAGTTTACAATCAAGCTGGGATGTATTTAATCCTTATGTCTATTGTCGTCTGAAACGTATTATTCTAGGACTTCTTTATTCTTTTATTTCACTTCATTCCTTTAATTTACAATTATTGTTTCTTTGTTAGCTTCCTCTAAATGTAGTCATACGAATAGTAAGAAAATAATGAAGTACACACATACATCAGCTGGTGGAGAAGATTTGTGGCTCAGGTGGATGATTTTGATGGAGTTTTGTTCTCTGAGCTCAGAGAACAAAACTCCATGAACATATATCAGGTCCCAATTAATTGTTACAGCCCACGACGTTTGATTCAATCAAAATACAAAAGGATTTGCATATTTTTAAGACTACTAATGAAAGTGTAAAGACTAGGAGTGTTCAGGAAGCTATAATTAGAAAAAGAAATAACGATAATGTATTGTATTTCACATTTCTCTTCGCGAAGCTAGACAAAGAAACGTCTCGTGTGACGTTGATTAGGTGAGTGGTTGAATCCCTGTGATAGTGTGTCTTGTTTAAGATATCATACTTGACGTTTAACAGTGAGACTGCACATGAGGTGTCTGTTTTATGCACAAGCATGTGATATGACTAGATTCTGACGGCCTATCAACTGTTTATAACTATCTATTTATCATTTATTTAAAATACGGCTATTTGTAAAAATACAGAACATAGGTATATCCTGGAGTTGTAGTGAGAAGCAGTGACCAGTGGAGTTCAACCAGGTTTGTGAGATAGTAACTCACTGAAGACAATGATGGATTTGTCTCTCGATTTCGTGGATTAGTTGAAGTTAGACATTAACACCGTTGGATGAGAGCTCAGTGGTCTAGTGGTTAAGCGCTCACGCGCGAGACTAATAGGTCCTGAGTTCAAATCTCGCAAGGCGGGGTCGTGGATGCGCACTGCCAAGGAGGAGTCGCACTGTAGGACGAAACGGCCTTCAAGTGCTTTCAGGTTTTCCATGATGGTCTAGCTTCAATCGACTCATGATCTAAACCACTGAAGTTACTATAACATCCACAAAACCCTTCTGATATAAAATCATATATTACTATTCTACTGAATATCTGGTATGCATTCCTAATAAAGACACCGACAGAAATTATTTAAAACAATAAATTTGGCAACCATATTTTTTTGAAAATAGTACAAAATGTAGTAAACTGAGGTAATGATAATAAAACTTCTCAAAAATAGAATGTTTACCATGATTATCTTTCCCATCTATTAAATTATCATTCATATTAGGATTTAATGTATATTGTGAAGAATGATCATAATTTGCCAAATTACAAAATAAGTCAGTATGATCATCACAATTAAACAACATTTTATTTAAATGAGGCCAACTAAATGTACGATGTAACATTGAAGATATATTCAATGTATCATTAATATTATTATTATCATCATCATCATCATCATGATCAGTTAATAGTGTACATTTTTGTTCATTTGTCATCTTCGAATTGATCATCAACATCCAAGGCATTTTATTACATAAATTAGATGATGATAATTGTGCATATGAAGATTTTTCAAATGTTAATTGTGAAATGGATGAGGATTTAGAATTTGTTCGTAATAATTTCAGTTGATTACTAGCACCAAGAATGTTATTATTATTATTATTATTACTAGAAGCAACACCAATATCTGGTTGATCGAATAATTCATCATCAATAAAGAATAAACCACCCTTTTCACGATAACCTGGAAATGAAATGCTACTATATTGATTAGTTTTACTTCTGTTATTATAATGATTGTACATTGGTTTCGATTTCATTTTCTCTTGAAAATATCCGCCATAATTTTTACTTAAAATGGTTGATCTATGTAGATTTTTTAAAGATAATACGTCAACGTTATTATTATTATTATTTTTAGTATTAATAGGCCTAAGAGTTGTATTTATTTTCTTGGCTGATGATATAATTGTTGATGGTGAAGACGTCGGTAAGCTTTTTTGTAATAAATGTCGTCGATAAGTTGGTAAAGGTGTAGAAGTTGGAGATGAAGTGGAAGAAGAAAAATTTGATTGGATTATTTCTGTTCCTTTCATCAGTGATTGATTATCGTATTTTTTTAATCGTTCCATTAATCCAGCAATTTGTTCTTCTAACATGGCTATTGTATTTGATAATCTAATTTAGAAAATCAAAAAGAAACAACATAAAAAGAAAATTTGAAATGAATCAAATGAAATAAATATGAACTGATTTGATCCTTAAAAAATAAATCAAACTGATATCTGGATGCATTTGATTTAATGCATAAATTACACTGATCAACAGTTATTTATGTGTGTAGTAAGCTGAATAGTACTTGACATTGACTAATTACGAACTTACTGTATGTACTGATAAGTCTTCTAATTGAACGCTCGATTCAGTTCCTAAGCTCTTCTAATAACCCCCACGATAGATTTACACAACAACTTGAAGACGAGAGAAAAAGCGCGAGATATGGAAGAGACGTTTTACTCCAAAGGTTTCTTTATGCACAGAAAATCTGGGGTTTTTATAGTATTTTATATGTCCTTGGGTTTCGGTAAAATTTTGGAATGCTATTAAGCATATTAGCAGTATAAGTAATCATGCAATCAGAAATTCGACATGTACCTTTTCACTTCTCGTCTGGGCTCCAAGTGTTCTGTCAACGCAGTGCTTTCGATGCACTGAAACTCTTCACTCTGTCCGATAATTGTTGAAACTTTGACTCCACATTCCGCTACACACAACTTACAACCATCCTTGTGAGTAGTGTCCACAACACTATGTTTGAGTCTCAAAGTGAATATCAATACTGTAATCCAGGTACAAATAACTGATAACTTTAAAATGAAACGATATACCTATCATGGATTTCTTTGCTGACCTCAATACAAAAATGTAACAGAAATGCAACTGCGTAAAATATAGTGGTATTTACTTAAGGAAAGCTCATGAAATTCATTCATGATTATTAGCAACCAGGAAAACCGCTAATAGCACTTCTAATAATACTAATAATCGTTATTATTGATATAGTTAGTAAAAACCAAGTTATAACTTTAAACAGAGTAGAATGATGGCTCGAAGTGGAATCCTGAATGCGTGTTTCGCTCTACTTTGAACTCATCAGTTGAATGTACATGTGTCTGCCTTCGTGCTCACACGAATGCTTGAACCCACAACTGTTCGTTTCAAAAGACCACCGCGTTGTCACCTTAACTACTAAATTCAGATAGTCACTAGCTTGTGCAGCAGGGTGAATACTAATTCTTTTTCATTGGTTGCTTAAATCTTATGGTTGATGGTATGAACTACAATTGATCAATCCCTTCTGGCATGTGTGGATCCTGAAAGGAGTGCCTAGTTATTGGCATCAGGTCACAAGTACTTAAGCAGAACTAGATAATGGATAGCAGTGAAATGTTTGGGATTTAATTGTAGTATCAAGACAACTCTCATAGAATGTACATATGCCAAAAGAGACTGACCAATAGAAGTTCATCATAACATTGACGGTAAGTTTCAAGCAACTAATACAAATGAACAAGTTACAGATGGTTAAATGATGAATCCAATATATAAATTACCATTTAGTGTGTATAAGTTCACACATACTACACCCAAACTAAGCACATGTTACCAAAAATACGATTAAACAGCCGATAAATGAACTAATTTATCGATTACTTAACTATAGTTGTCTTCGCAGTTATAACAAGTGCCATACCAATGTTTTACAAAATTGCAACATTAATAACAAATCATTATTTTTCTGTAAAATGGTAATTAATGGATCACACTTTCGCATTAATAATAATAATAATAATAATAATAATAATAATAATAATAATATATCTGATAATGTTTTTTTTGTAAAATTATCCTAAAACATAATAAAAATAAACTCGATCAATACAAAGAGCAAAAGTGCATTTACTTCCCTATTGTCATAGTTTGAAATTGGGTACAAAAAAAATTTAAAAAATTCCGCAAACGAAAGTTCGCATTTATTTATCACATTTTCAATGTTCAATAACTGAGTAATTTGGATTGGTTAAAGTTAAACATTAACACCGTTTGATGCCGACTCAGTGGTCTAGTTGGTTAAGCGCCTGGCGCGAGACTGACAGGTCCTGGGTTCGAATCTCGCGGGGGGCGGGATCGTGGATGAGCACTGCTGAGGAGGCCCATACTGGGACAAAACGGCCGTCCAGTGCTTCTGGGTTCTCCATGGTGGTCTAACTTCAATTGACTCCTGATTTCAACCAGTGAAATTTCTCATTCATTTAATGGATAGAAAGTGCAATCTTCATTGAGGATTTCATTTCAAGCCCTACATTTCATTATATTTGTCATTTTCATTCAAATTATGTGGGTGTACGAAAGTAATGTATTGGTAACAGATAGTTGGAGATAACTTTAAATGTTTAAAAAGAAATCTCCATTGAAAATTACCCCACTTTATGCAGTATTCATCCATCAAATGAACAAAGAATTACCTGAAAATCCTGAATGTCGCACACAAATTGAATATTTAAAGCATATCAAATTCACTTCAAAAGGAATAAAATTTTATTCTAGACTCAGATAAAACGATACGCCGGATATAATTGTCTAATGCTAAGAGGACAGAATCATGACTATTGAATTCATATTGATTAGAATGGAGGTCAGGCGTGCAACCTGATTGCACAAATCTAAATGTTCAAGTAATTATGCGATCACTTGATTGTTCGAATAAAAAACTTTATCCAAACTTCTTGTTTTAGCCTCTCTTGTGTACTAGCTAACACAAACGTTTGTTTATTCATGAATACTTTAAAAAGTTACCACAGAAAGGCATTTATTCACCATTATTTGGGTTAACGAAGATTTAGTTCTATATTCTAAAAACCGGTTGTGCTGCAGAATAGGTTCTTTTAAGGACCACTTTATAAATTTAACCAACTCTACCTGAAAATTCATCCCTTTTAAATTTAAAAGAGGTGAAAACGGATTTTTATTAACAATTGACATTTAGGACATTCTTCGTTTTGTGTTTAGATCTAGATAGTTGGATTGATCGTTAGGTTCAAATTACATTGTAAATTTGATGTTTCCATGTGTTTTGCTGAGTTGGCAAAGGAAACAAGAAGTATGTACAAGCTGTTAAAAACAATAAATACATCGTCCATACATATTCTGTATAATGTTATGTCCCCTATTTGACGTCTCATTTTCGTTTATTAAATATTGGTTATAAACATGTCGGGTAGAATAGGTCTAACCGGTAACCCTATGATCAGCCATTCCATTAATTCATCTGTATAACGGGTTATTAAATTTGAACTGAATATCCATTGGTCCAAAGAAACAGTGATTTTCTAAACTCGTTTGAGTCTAAAGGAAGTAAATCAAAATGCTAGAGTATTATATATATGGCTTCCTCCATTGGTAAGCTGATTACTATTAAACAAATAACCAATGATTTCATAAGTTTATCTGAATTATCTACATGATCCAGTTCTTTTGAAATATGATATGTCTTTTAACTCATGAATTGCTATTTTTCTACGAATTTATTCCAATAATTTCGTTAATTATCTGGTTAAATTATGATACGATGAACTTATCATTATTTGATCCATAAATTACACATCTCCTAACGAACTTGACCGTATCAGACACCTAGGCATTGGTTTACATTTGTGTCATAGCATTGGTCATGGTCAAGAATCTAAATCTTAATCTAATGGTTATAACCTCAGAAATAGCTTCCTTACATAATATATTTTGTATACTGTTTAGGCTATAAAGATATACTTCATACACCATTATTCATTACTTACCGCTGAATCTTTTGTTGATCTTCAGAAATTTTACGCATCAATTGACGATTATTATTATCCAATTCTTGATTATATCTATCAGCTTCATCAACAAATTCCATTTTACGTTGACTTAACTCACGAAGATTGGAAATTTCTTTTATAAGAAACTATTGAAGGAAAAATTACATTTCTAAGAAAATAATCTATAACTTATCAATGTATCTCTATCATAAAATGATAACCAGTTAACAAATCGAATCATATGTGTATTCTTGGCTGTTCATTGAATCATCAAAGACAGGTAAGTGTAATAAAATGTAATCAAATAAAGATAACAAGAAATATTCATAAACAAAGAGTATTAGGTTATACAGTTACTACATCTTGTTATTTAATTTGGCACATAAGGTTAGAAATATTGAGTACTACATATGTGCATTAGAATGTGAATTCAATAATTTTAAACTATTAGAGCACAACACAATGAGCTTACTTGGAAAAATGATCTTAACAACAATAGGTTTAGGAGAAGTAAGTGATTAGGGTAGACGAAAGTGAATTTGAAAACTTATTTACTAAATAAATCAGTATAACTTGAGTATTATTAGTAAAATACTTTTTTTATATTATATTGCATTCGCCTGTTTTACATTCTCAGTTATTACTTTATATATGTTTACTGCACTTCAGATTGTACATTACATTTTTCAAACTAATTTGTCTAAACATTACACTTTTGAGAACAGATACTACACACTTGAGAATTCAGGGATTTACTCTAACCCTTATCTTTGTAGATAGTATAGTGATCTATAAAAGATCTTGATTTGACTGCCTACAATCAATTGAATATCTCATCTGAATTTCGGAAATAGTTTCAACATAGTATCACAAAATCAGTTTATTTTATCTTGTCTGCATTCATATATAGGGGCTAATGACGTTTATGAACAATAACTCGATGATATACCACTGCTATTGAAGATCCTAGAATAAAATAATCAGAGAAGTGGGTTATACAGCCAAAAAAACGCATGAATTATTAACACTGTTCAAATATACAACATAAAAAGAAATCTAATGCTTAAATATCTCTCGAATAGAAAGTGTCAATGTTGAATCATAGTGGTCCAGTATCTATAATGATTAATAAAACCATAATTCTGTTTTCGATATGTCAATTAACAACAAACAATGATTAAACAACTACGAACATCAATACAATTTGAATGTTATACTGACAACATTGTCTAGAAAGAGTGTAAACTTCATAAGTAGATTATTCAGCTCAGAGAATGAAATATAAAATGTGACACTATTATACATCAGGATTTTATGAACGTGTTCCCAGCTATTAAAATGAATGGATTCAATGCCAGTCGATAGACGAAATGCAATGTGGTCGAATAATAGATGTTCTCGAGACAGAATGATTGATTTAAACCCAACATTGAAATGGTAACAAAGACAAGATCACCAGTTAGAAGGATTAATTTACCAATCTAATCGTTATAATCCACTAATTTTTAAAGCCAAAGATTCTAATAAAAAAGTGTATTCAATTATGGGGACTAAACCTTACTATGGTTAAAAATCTTGAAAGAGGACATTTTTATACTGAATCATCTGGTTAATAGAATGTACTTAATTATTCCACAAATCAATTGCCTGAGAGTATAAACTAGAAAATCAAAACGAAGGCTTATAAACACATATTCCACAATTAGAAAATAAGATATAAAAAACGATAAAAAAGTATATGACAAAAGCAAATGAATATTCTGTTCAAGGTTATCATATATTAGGACTTCAAAAACAAAAGACCACTTTGATGTTAGATGGTTGAAGGTAATCGGGAGGAAACATTGCAAATAAGCTTTGAGTGAGTTGGTACACATCTGAGACGGATATCTGAAATCTCCAGAAAACTGATGCTTCTTAAGAGATTCAAACCCTGGCTAGCTAATCCCATAATCTGAAGCCTTAGCATCGGTTGATCCGAATTATAACTGACACTTTTTAAGACTAAGGTATTTACCTTGATTGACTACTAAGAAACAGTGGCTATTTTCATGTTTATCTAATCTTTAGCGTTATTAATAATATCTAAGCTCATTCAATCAGCTACAACGTAGGACAAGACACATATATGCATCGTTCCAAGTTGTCATACCTCATTAACACAATAAGATCAACTCCGGATTCATAAAGTATTTAAGCCAATGGTGGTAATATATAAAAGAAAGATTGCATATGAGGACATAGTACAGGAAGAAAGAATTAGTTCATAGAAAGAAAGATATAAAGCAATTTTAATCTCTTAGTTTAAGTAAGGGAAGACAAAGAGTGTATACACCTACGCCATTGTGATCGATCCTGAGCCATGTCACCAAGAGTCTCCAACCATTGGTTACGATAGTCACGTGGACCCCAACCAAGTAGTCTGCATCCCGCAACATGGCTCAGACTAGAGGTTAATGTCTTCAAACACTGATGCCACGTTTTGGTTTGGCTATCCCTAACTTCTTTCAACCGTTGTTGCTACCTTGACGTGGTGGTCGGGCTTGCCTATCGTGATGAAGCAACCGAGCTATACTGACTGAAGCAACCGTTCCTCAAGGTCTTACCATGTCAGACAGGTCGGTTGAAGAGCAGTAAGACTAAAAGCAACAAACCCAAAGTTCGAAGGCGAAGTCGTACTGCTGACTGTACAGAGGTGTGACAGCAGTAAGCTGTTTCCTTCAAAAAACCAGCATGGCAGCGATGCTGCCTTCCCACAAGGAGGGGTGGGGTTAGTAAAGGTCGACCCTAAAAATGCACACCTCGCCTTATCCCACGGATATCCATCTCCGGCGGTAAGGTCTCAACAAATACGGAGCTGACACAAAAAATACCCATAAAAAGGTCATGTGTGGCCGACCTCAAGCAGTTGTCCCTTGGGCACTGCGGTCACGCTCTCAGGTCACTAAGACCACCTCTAATATAATTTCCTTTTTAGGTACCTCCAGAAGAACCCTTCCATGGTGTGGGCAACCGGGAACTGATAATCGCCCTCATACCTCTAACAGCACTCAAGACTACTATATTCATAATCAACCTCTCTCTATTATCCAAACTAATCCAATAGAAATGTTCATATGTCTTTTTCGATTGTTCATTAACCAAATTGTTTAATGAATTTCAGTCTGTAAACTCTATTGGCTATAACTCGATGGTCATAATTTATACTTCATTGATTAAATAATTAATAAATGATTAAATGAGTTATTTCTATTTATTTAATAAGATGTTAAACAGTTTCGCAACATTAATTATTCAACAGTTTGTCCAAGGTAAGTGATATAAAAATCTAATTGGTTAAAAAGAATATCATTATAACAGTTAATAATAATAATAATAATTTTTGGTGGAGTTTTGTTCTCTGAGCTGGATGGTTTGGTCGTGGAGCTTTCATCGTTCTTCTGAACGACATCATCAGCACAAACTTCTATCTGAAGACGATGAAAGCTCCACGACCAAACCATCCAGCTCAGAGAACAAAACTCCACCAAAATCATCCACCTGAGCTACAAATCTTCTCCACCATCTCAATAATAATAATAATAATAATAATAATAATAATAATCTATTTGACCTTAATATACATCAAAGAAAATAATTCACAAATTTATGTAATGATATGAATGACAAGATAAATTATCATTTCTTGTAACATTATTTCAACTCTACATAATTATAAAAAGAAGAAGTATAGTTCTAGCTGTCAATGTATATAGGTATCGGTTTTAAAAAAGAAAACACACATTAAACTAATTAATGACTAACTAATCAACTTATTTAAGAGCAAATCATTTACGCAAAAGATCATCTATCAATCAAAATATTGCTGATGTATATTATTTGTATTATCAGTACAGGGTTGTGGAGATTATTGAATTTTAATTAAGATCATGAAACGATCAAAGTTAGACTACTGTTGAAAACTTGAAATCATTAAATGGTCGTCTTGTCCTAGTATGGGACTTCTCAGCAGTGCAAATCCACCAGCCCGCACGCCCAACTCGAACCCAGGACCTTCGATCTAGAAAGCGGACGCTTCACCTTCAGACCAAAGAACCAATATCCAGTGATGTCAATGTCTAACTTTAACCAATCCACGATATTGCGTAACTAGCTTATATTGTCTTCGGTTGGTAAATTCCTCACATCCGATACGGCTTAGCTCCACTGGTCACGGCTTCTCACTAGAACTCCGTGAATTATCTCCCGAAGCTATTCACTAGCGAGCGTATGATAATTATTAGTACAGGGTTGTGCAGTTTGTTGAGTTTCGTTTGGGTTCATGAATCGATAATCGCGCTATATCGTGGATTGGTTGAAGTTAAACATTAACACCGTTAGACACCGGCTCAGTGGTCTAGAGGTTAAGCGTTCAAGCGCGTGACCGAAAGTCCTGGTTTCGAATCCCATGTGCAGAATCGTGGATGCACACTGCTGAGGAGTCCCATACTGGGGCAAGACGGTTGTTCAGTGATTCCAGGTTTTCATTGGTGGGTCTAACATTGATCGATTCATGATCTTAATCATTTTTATTAGTTTATTCGAAAGATCCCAACTCTTACTCTGAAACTTCTACTACGAAATATGTTAAAATGTAGCTGCTCATTTGATATGTTTGTCCGCTCAGCTAATCAGTTGCAACTACAGCTTTAATGCAATGAAAGAATTTGCTCCTACGTCCTTCTTCTTCCTCTTCCTTGACTGTTAACTAGAATGTGAAGTTCAAGTCCGTATGGAAGCTGCTCTTGTAAGAGATCCAAGAGTATAATTCATGCTAACAATTTCAAACCCTAAAATTGAAGATTGAAAATCTGGAATCCATGTACGCATTGTCAGGTTAGACAATTACTAGCCACAAAATCAAAACATTTTGATCCATAAGTCTAATCATAAAAATTTTAAAGTAATAACAAGTGGCTGAGATCAATTTTGTCTTATTAAGAAGTGAAGTTAGTCTTCCTTACAAGAAGTTCTATAAATCTATAACCCAAAATGAAAATATCACTCTCTAATGAATCTTTTTAGATAGTTAGTTAGTTGGTTAAACACATCAGTAATTCAAGAGATAGATTTAACAAACCAAGATATTTGTAAACATATTTCATGG